ACTTTCCTTTCCTGTTTGAAATGCTCTCACCCACCTTAATTTTTATTTGCATCATATTCCTACATTTATCTCCCAGTAATATTACTTCCTATACTTTCCAGAAATTTTCCCCAATACCTTTCCTGTGTGTCACACAGAGTCCAGCTAAGCTCCTGTAATACTTACAGTCCATACAACTACTTACCTCTACTATTTTATCATCAAGTGCTATTTATCTTTTATTTATGTGACTATCCCTCAAATAAGCATCCCACTACTGCAACAAACACTTATTGAGACAGCCATTAGACCAGGTATCAGGAATACAAAAGTAAATAAGATGTGGTCTTTCACCTCTGGTGAATTTCGAGTTGGGAGAGGGAGGGAAGACACAAGTCTGAAAATGAAAATTAAAGAAATATTTTCTATATGTCATTAAATGCATCTATACTCATCTAGAATGTAGGGGTAAATGCACAGAAAGAAGACAATCACAATAAATGCTCCAGATAGTGCTGCACTTGAATTTTGAATGATGAACAGGTATCAAACAGAAATTCAAGACAACCTGAGCTTAAGCCTCAGTGCCTAGACAAGGGTTGGCAGTACATCCATGTAGTGATGGCAATGAACATATTTAGCAAGCCATTGCAAATGACACTTTATAAAGAAATATGTCAATTTTTTAATGATATGTATCGTGAAATATTCATAATGCTTTGAAGTATGCTGATTTACATGTCTCTGTATGTTCAGTGAAAACAGTAAATCTTAGGTCAAATTTAAATAATGTCTCCTCTAGAGTCATAATTTTATTTCCTTGACCTTGTAGCATAAAATTCAACTCTCCTGAATAATTTCAAGGAGTCAGTAAAATGTAAGCATCCAATTTCAAACTAAAAGTGAGATGGTTTAATAACCATGTCCAAAAAGTGACACTCTCATTCATAAAGCTAGAAAAATGAGACCTAACTTTGCCATGGATAACTATAATCATTGTTAACACATTGGAATATAATAATAATAATAATAAGGTGTGTATTAACAGACTGGAATATTTTCAACACGCTCCTTGAAGCACTGTGATAATGCAGTGATGATGAAAGTCCTGGGCAGTCCTCCAACTGACAATGAGATGTCCAACCAATCCTATTACATCTCTGTATTCTGTTCCAAATGACTGCACTTTCAGATACATCAGCAGTAATAGTTAAACCACAAATATTTTGACAAGTTTAAGAAGAATAAGTGAAATGTATTATTTTTCTAACCAAACAGAAACCTAAATCATCAAATGTTTACCTTTATTCATATACAAAATTAATCAAATGTTAAAACCATTCTTACTTCTGGCTTTTCTACTAGTAACTCTAAAATCACTTGCACAGTAATGACATGAATAAATGGTGTAAAAGTAAATGTCACTTCTAAAAGATATATGATTTAAGTATGTAGGTAGTTACTCTAGGAACGGCCAACTGGATGAGTTGTTCTCACATTTATGCCAAAAATTCTTCCCACAATTAGTTTTTTAAAATTCTGCCTTCATGAGATTTGTATTTATTTTCCATTTTGTGTAGATGTATTTGTATAATTCCCAATCTAAAACACTACCTTTTCTTGACTCATCCCTAATAGGTTATTCTATCCAAGCCCATTTCTTTTTTTTTCCACAATGGTTCTCATGAGTTTTAAGACACTGTCCAAGTATTTTATGGCAAATAATCCATTTTGCTATGAAGACTCAAATTGTGATTCTAATTTACAACTGTTTGAAGTCTCAACTATGAATGCTCTTGGTTTGAGAACACTGACTACCTACCAACAAAAATAAGGAAACTGCCCTATTGAAAATATAGCCTTACTTGTCTATCTTTATCTTCTACAGCTTAGGTTAAGATTTCTTGACTAACTAGGTAAAACTATGGGTGAAATCTGAATTAACATAAAACAATTTTCTAAAAAAAGAAAAGCAAAATTATTCTGAGTAAATAATCATACTTTCATACCTAAATATTTTCATTTTGCATAAAAGAAGAGATAAATAGATGCTGAGATGCTACACTCTGCTATCAATAAAATCACCTCCATATTCTATGGACATATATTTACTTTTACCATTCTCATCTAATCTTCATTAATATTATGTCTTACACGTCAACACAAATTCTCCCTTAGCTCTTTAGTGGTTGGTTTTCCTCACAGGCTCTGTTTACAAGCAGAGAAAATGTTCGCAATTCTATTTTGCACTATATTAAAGCACTCACATTGAGCCTCAGCAGTAAACTATTCAGAGATTAATGCTTAGCACCTTTTAACCAATTGTTTTATAATCACAGATATATAAAAATATGCATATATTCATATATATAATATTACACCCCAAAATTCAAGAGTCCCATAGCTTTTAAAAAGGGGAAAAAATTACTTTCCCCAAAAGAATTCTTCTCTAAGCCCGGCTTTTCCTCTTTGGTGTCTTTCCTTGCTCTGCTCTCACTCTGAAGAACAGAAATTTCATCATAGTACAAGGAAGTGTATCATTAGGAGAGCTTTCAGATTAATTAGACTAAATATTAGACTCACTTGAATAAGTTCATTGTCAGCCACTTACTCATTTAGGCCTTTTCTCACGCCAGGATGTCTATTTTGGGAAATTCATCTATTAATGATAATTCTGTTACTTTACAAGTATTGTTAAGAAACTCAGGGATGGCTGGCGCCGTGGCTCACTAGGCTAATCCTCCACCTGCGGCGCCGGCACCCAGGGTTCTTGTCCCGGTTGGGGCACCGGATTCTGTCCTGGTTGCCCCTCTTCCAGGCCAGCTCTCTGCTGTGGCCAGGGAGTGCAGTGGAGGATGGCCCAAGTGCTTGGGCCCTGCACCCCATGGGAGACCAGGAAAAGCACCTGGCTCCTGGCTTCCAATCAGCGCGATGCACCGGCCGCAGTGCGCAGGTCGTGGCGGCCATTGGAGGGTGAACCAACAGCAAAAGGAAGACCTTTCTCTCTGTCTCTCTCTCTCTCACTGTCCACTCTGCCTGTCAAAAAAAAAATTAAAAAAAAAAAAAAAAAAAAGAAAGAAACTCAGGGATCTTAACAAGAAGCCCAGAATCAGTCTCCTAAAGAATATGAGAAAAAAATGAGCTATGAAATCTTGCCTCCCAGATTAATTCTCTCTACATGAAGGGCAACAGATCACAAATGTGCTAAGCAGGTACTTCTGAACACCTAGCTTCCGAGAATTGTGTATAGCAGGGAGACAGGAGCATGGTGGTTTTTCTGCTTTTGGAATATTTGGGGTTCTGGTACGAATCAAACTTGCTAGCTGAGATTTTCTGGCCAACCACACGGGAAACTAAACTCTGGCTCCCGCTTCAGTTCAAATCATTAATTGCCACAGAATTTGACCTTGACATAGCTCAAGCCCCCACCACCTCCTGACACCAGGAAGGTCAAAGTCTGCTGAAATTGCTGGATCCTGTAAGGGACCTTGCGGATGGGCCATTCTCCTGTATTTTTCATTCTGATGCCCTGAATCATGTAACTCCGCTCCTGATTCTCAGTGCATGAGAGCACTAACAGAATTTTCTCTACCTTATTACTAGAATCTGAAAATTGGAATTCTAGTTTTTTGTACTCTGTATTTCAGATTATATGGCTTAAAATCACTTGTGCTATTAGAAGAACCTGGAGAAAGAAAAGCAAAATACTTCTTCATTTATGATTTTTATTTCTAAAATTTCTTAATATATATCCTAGCATTATTATGGTTATGTAAGGGCACTTCAAAAAGTTCACAGGAAATAGAATAAAAGGATGTGCTTATTTTGATGAAAAAAAGTTGAAATTCATGCTCATATATAAATATATATTCACAAGGGACTAGGTAGAGATATAGCTACAGATACAGGCATAGACACAATACATAAATAATTAGATCAAAAAGGAGAGAGTTTGAGAGATAGAGACAGAGACAGAGACTGGAGCTAAAATTAGAAGTCAAAATTCTAAGCATTCTCTATTCTGAATGGCACTATAAAATTTAGATATCTATTTACACATATTATTATTTCATTTCCCTTCTAATAATTTTTTCACCCTAATCTTTTTTTAAATGTTTATTTATTTATTTTTCATCTACTTGAAAAACCAAGCAACAGAGACAGAGAGACAGATCTTTCATATATTGGCTCTCTCCTTAAAAGCCTGTGACAGCCAGGGCTGGGCGAGGTCGAAGCCAGGAGCCAGGAACTCCATCCAGGTCTCCCACGTGGATGGCAGGGACACACGTACTTAAGTTGTCACCTGATGCCTTCTAGGATGCACTCGCAGGGAGCTGGATCAAAAATGTATAGGGTGTAGGTATCCCAAGGGCAGCTTAACCTGCTTGTTGTGTCACAATGCTGACCACCCTACCCCGACCCCTGCCCCAGCCTCCAATCTTGGCCTCATCTCTTAATAACAGAGATCATCACTCAGCCTCATTCACATCTCAGTCACATCTAGGGGTTCCCTAGTACATTCCTCCCTACTCAAGTCACCATCACACTCTTTTCTTTCAACCCAAACTACTAGAGCCCCCTCCTGTTCTGAGATGCCCACTGTACCTTTCTTTTGCATGTTTGCCACCGTATTTCAACGGCTCTGTTAAGAAGTATTGAACTTGAGTAACTGCTGGTGTGTGACGTTGTGAATGTGCTCATGACTTTTGTAAAAGAGTTTATCTCTTAATAATTTGCTCATTTCACAATTTCTGGTCAAATTTAAAGATTAACAGCCCCTGGACTTAGAACATAACTTGGGTGCGGTCCTTTGCTATTTTGGGGACCCTAAACAATTAGGTCCCCAGGCTCCCATTTGTAGCACGTTCCTAACTTGTTTATCTCTCTGGGTCTCCATGAAGGTTAAAATGAAACAACACTGAAGCACACTACAAACATTTAAGTGATATGCAAACAAAAGGGAACATGCAAAACACCTGCTGGGAACTTCCTCCCTGGGAGATGGAAATGGGTGTCCTCACCTCTGGATTCATGGAACTCCAGTGTGACATGAGCATCAAATCCAAGGCTGAAGTAATTATTGAAAACGTTCAGAGGAAGCTGGAATGATAAACAAAGGAAGAGGTAAAGTTGTATGTAGCCAGCTAGAAAGAGAAACTTAATGCCAAGAACCTGTCCCTAGGGTAGTCCCTGGGGAGGGAACAGTCACAACTCAAAGTAGAAGGTGTTTATGTAGAAGAAACAACTGATTCTCCAACAAATTCACTAGAGAAAGCTCAGAACAAGTAATTACCTCAAGAATTATATAGGAAATCAAAGGGCTACAAATACAATTGCTAAGTATGAACCATTCTTATGAATGTTGTAATAATAGAAACTTGTTAGGCTGAGGGCTGCACACTTGCAATGGTTATGAAGCATGACTCACGGAGTGAACTGAGCAAGTAAATTTAATTGTAAGGATCATGTCTAACCCTCTTAATCAGGAAATATACTTTTTTAAAGAATTCATATTAAGTATATAAATATTGAAAACTAAAATGAATACTATTTTGTGTACCTATCACTTGCATGCAAAATAGTTTTTGACTACGGTCATATAAGAAATAAGGCAGTGGGAATGATTTATCAATTGTTGACCTACAGCAAGGGTGGGGAACCTTTTTTCTGCCAAGGGCCATTTGGGTATATATTTTTTTTAATTTATTTGACAGATAGAGCTAGACAGCGAGAGAGACAGATAGAAAGGCCTTCCTTCAGTTGGTTCACCCCCTAAATGGCCAGAGCTACACCGATCCGAAGCCAGGAGCCGGGTGCTTCCTCCTGGTCTCCCATGGGGTGCAGGGCCCAAGCACCTGGGCCATCCTCCACTGCCCTCCCAGGCCAAAGCAGAGAGCTGGACTGGAAGAGGAGCAACCGGGACTAGAACCTGGTGCCCATATGGGATGCCAGCGCTGCAGGCGGAGGATTAACCAAGTGAGCCACAGCGCCAACCCCACCATTTGGATATTTGTAACAATCATTCAGAAGCCATACACAATTATTAATTTAAAAATTAGCCTGCTACAGATTTGGGGTCGGCATTGTGGCATAGCAGGTAAAACCACCACCTGCAATGCTGGCATCCCATATGGGTGGTGGTTCATGTACGACTGCTCTACTTCGGATTCAGCTCCCTGCTAATGGCCTGGGAAAAGAAGTAGAAAACGGTCCAAGTGTTTGGACCCTTGCATCTATGTGGGAGACCCAGAAGAAGCTCTTGGCCCCTGGGTTGAGCCTGGCCCAGCCCTGGCCATTGCAGCCATCTGGACAGTGAAACAGCAGTTGGAAGATTCTCTCTCTCTCTTTCACCCCCCCCCCATATCTCTATTTCTCTGCTTCTCTATAACTCCAACTTTCAAAATAAATAATCTTTTAAAAATTTTCCTGCTATTGATTTATTAAATTTTGATTCCTGCCTGTGGTTGCCTCGGCAGGGCCAAAACTGAATGATTTCATGGGCTTTATTCAGCCTGTGGGCCAGACATTCCTCACTCCTTACACAGAGAAAAAAAACATAAAACTGAATAAATAGATACACATTTAAATATTATTTTATGTCTATGTGTAAATATTATTCAGCTTCCCAATTCATTTATGAAACCTCACATCTTCAAAATGACCATAAAGTCTACAAACACAACCACATAGACATACACACAAGCCTTAACTTTCCCTCCCAGAGACTTCTGGATCCCTGGCTATTACAGTTGCAGACTCATTGAAAGATAAAACACTACACAGCTTTAAAACGCACATTAAAATTGAAAAACTAGAGTGACCTGAAAGCCTCAGTTCTGTGACAGCATAATCAAAAGTTTATGAAGAGCAGGCATTTCGCCTAGTGGTTAAGCCACTGGTAGGATACCGCTTCTCACTTTTAAGTGCCCGAGTTTGATATCCCACTCCTACTACTCACTGACCCCAGCTCCTGTTAATACAGACCGTGGAGGGCTCAAGTGACTGGGTTCCTGTCACCCACCAGGGAGATCTGGATAGCGACCCGGGATCCCAGCTCCTGGCTTCAACTGCCCAGGCAGCGGTTAAGGAATGAACCAGCACATGGAATCTCTCTCTCTCTCTGTCTCTGTCTCTATCTCATATCTATCACATATATATATGTGTGTGTGTGTGTGTGTGTGTTTGCGTGTGTGTGTATATACATATATACATATATATTCTTTTATATATATATCTGTCTCTGTATCTATCTCAATCTCTATCTTCATCTCATATTTTAAAAATTAAAGAAAATCATATGAAAAATGCTAGAAGGGAAAGAGTTGTTCTATCACTTTTCTTTCTACAACTCAGAGTGGAAAATAAACATTAAAGTAAAAAGAGGTTTCATGTATCCACACAATTATCAGGCTTATGCCCCTAAATTCAGCTACATCTCTCTCCTACATGAAACTGCTTTTTAATCCTCATGATTTCAAAGCAAGTTCATTACTGTGTTTCACATACTCCTTGACTTGCAGTATTTCTTCTTCGATTAGATGGAGAACTTTGTCTCATTAAAAGAAAAATGAAATGAGAGAGCAAGAGAGATATTAATATGGAAAGAAAGAAACTAGATTTCTTGGTCCCTAGTGGAAGCCAGGAATGAGCCCACATGCTAGGCTGAGCCAGAACCTGTAATGATTCTGAGACCAAGTCAGCCCTTAGAAACGGTTTCAGCTAAGCAGGAACAGGGAGAGAAACTAAACACATAGAGCAATGCCAAAGTCACGTCTCACTATTCTGGCTTCAAGTTTGAGAATGTCCAGTGCTTGCACTTAACAAAATACCAGTCTTTAGTAATGACAGCATGGGGTGGTGATTCTGCCAAAAGCACAGATATGTTCTTCTCCTCTACCGTTTATGTTCTTTTGGCTACAATTCTAACCCATGCCTTAGCATCCACTGATAGCTAAGGAGAACATCTGGTCACCATCTCCTAAATAATATCCCAATTGAGTCTCTTTTTAAGTTATTCACATTTTCCAGGAAAACTTGCCCCAATTTCCTTTCACATCTCAAAAATCCATTTTGAAAGCCCTTTAATTATCTGGATTGATGTTCTCTGGCTGCACCATGAAGTCTTTCCATTTCTTAAACTGTTGGGAAGAGAAATAAATATGTTTCTATTGCAGGCCTAACCATCCAAAGTTTAGTAGGAAAAAGATCTTAAAATTTCCATATGGTACTCTTCTTTCTACTTGCGTTGTTTGTTTTCTATCCAATTTCTATAAGTCAAACACAGCAGTAAAAAGTCTCACATCCCAAGAGGATATTTGGTTAAAGAGCACTGTGACATCATGAATTCAAATGCAACTAAGCAATTGTGATTCCTAATAGAAATCTTATTAATGGTAAGATAAAGTTAGGTTAAAAGAAATATGAAGAAAAGGTGTGCTTTTACCTCTTCTATCCAAATAAGAAACTTGAGCATTCATACATTTGGTCAGGATCATGCACTAAGGAATAAATGGGCACTGGTTTGGTCTAAAATGATACAGAGTTTAATCTATTTTAAAATTGAAGCATTCATGAAATCTGGACCTCAAGACATAGTTCAATATACGGCAGGGATGCTGTTTAACAGTATTCAAAGTCTGAGTGTCAACCCTGCATTTACTTTTTCAGAATTTCTAGGGACTGGGCCTGATAATCTGCATTTTAACAAGCAGACTGGGAGTTCCTTATGCATACAAAAGTTTGAGAAAACTATTATAGAAGAAAAGTGACAATAATATGGCAGAAGCTACTCAGCAAACTATCAAATTTATCTTCAATTGCAATCAGAATTTAGAACCACATGTTCAACTGAATTTCCATAGTGGCATATTTACAACTCTGTCCTTTGGTTTGTTTTGGGTGGAAAGGAAAGTTCAATCACTAAAAGAAAACACTAAGTCAAAACATTTATTCAAGTATCTTCAAGTCCCAAGCAAATGATGAAATCAGCTTACTTACCACCTCCTAAACACAAGGGAAATCTGATTATCAGCCAGAAACCTCAGAAGGATCTTTCTCTACTAAGGATCATACGCTTAATGCTTCAAAACAAATGAAGTTTTCATCTTAAACAATGTCTGCGTTCAACTATGAAGATGAAACACTGGACAGACACCCTTTTAGTGTGGAGGCTGAAGACAGCAACCAGCTTCCTCAGCGCCGTGAGCAGCCGTGAAATCTAGGTCTCTACAGTCCATGGGATGACAACAGGAGTGATATTATCCTCCCAGCCCTAAGAGCCATCCACTCGACACTATCCTGCCATCTCATGGGGAAGAACCAGCATGTGACGCTGCAGCGGGAGATGGATTCCCTGTGGCTTGGCAGACGTTCCTGGGGTCCCTTCTGTCGGGGAAAGGGCTCTCTAACCTTACACACGCCATCTTCCAGTTCTTCCGGAGGCAAGTCTGGGTTTCTTTCCACATGGAGGTTCCAGCGATCTAGCTGTACAATTGTCCCATCCTCTACTTGGCATAGGATCTTAGAAACAGGTTCATCAGTGTATCCCTGAGAACAGAGGCAGAAGAAGAAAAAAATTGCTATCTAAAGTAGAAAGCAGTGTAGCTAATATACTTCTAGCAAAAAGGACCCCTGCTCCTAACATTCTGGTTATTTTGTAATCAGCAAGGCTGGAAAAGTAAACTCTTTTCCCAATATACTTGGACTTTAAGAATATTCACAGAGAAGGTACATAGACAGGTTTGAGATGAGGAATGTTTGCTGGCACCAAGAACCAATAGTCACTGGTATGCATAGAAGGCCAAGTTGGATGGCTGCTTTTATTGGGTTGAAAAATAGGACTCTTGATAAAGAAACTGCAGAATATACAGAACAATCAGGTATGTAAAGGGGAGGAAGCATCAAGGTGGGATTTGATTGACAACATTCAATCTATTCCACTTGTCTGGACCTTGTCATGAGATACCAACCCCCCATGACCTGAAGGAGAAGAGCTCTGTTAGGAAGCTATGTACTCCTAAGGATCCTATTGACAACATGACTATAAAGAATAGTCAAGTCACTGATTTCGGTGCAAGAAGTTAACTTCTGACCTTAGCTGTTCCATGGGAAACATAGAGATTGGGCCCCGCTTTGCAGTGCAGAGGGTCAAGCCTCCCATGTGGGAATGCCAGTTGGAGTCCCAGCTGCTCTGTTTCCCATCCAGTTTCCTGCTAATGTGCCTGGAAAGGCAGCTTTGCCCTCTGTCACGCACATGGAGACCCAGATGAAGTTCCTGGCGTTTGGCTCCAGCCTGGCCCAGCCAAAGCCACCTTGGCCATTCGGGGAGTGAGCCAGTGAACGGAGGATCTCTCTCTGCCTCTCCTTCTCTCTGTCATTGTGTCTTCAAAATAATAAATTAATCTTTAAATACATATTTGTGTAAGTATGCATTTATTTATACAATGCCTACTAAAACAAACACTTATAGAAGGCTGATTCAACCCAAAGGCTAGACTAACATCTGCTAGATACTTGAAGATAATTTTCCTATGAGAGAGAACCCACCTCAGGCAACTGTCTCAGAGGAGCAGAATAAAAGTTGATGCGTTGTACTCATGTACAAAACTTTTGCTTCCTTACTCTCTAAGCACTATTAAATAAATAAATACAGACATGCATGCTGGTTAGTGATAGGATAATTACTCCCCCACACTGATGTTGACTGTATAGTAGAAAGGACAGTTGGACAACTGGTTAGCCAAAGCCATCAGAAAAACCCAATGCTGGGGCCTACATTATGGCATAGCAGGCTAAGTCCCCACCTATGATGCTGTCATCCCATGTGTTCTACTTCTGGTCCAGCTCCCTCACAATGTGCCTGGGAAAGCAGCAGAAGATGCTCAGACCCCTGAACCTACATGGGAGACCAGACGGAGTTCCAGGTACCTGGCTGTGGCCTGGCCCAGCCCTGGCCATTTCAGCCACTTGGGCAATGAACCAGGAGATGCAAGATAAACCAATCAATCTCTGTGTGTGTGTGTGTGTGTGTGTGTGTGTGTATCTCCCTCTCTGTAACTTTTTCAAATAAATAAAACAAATCTTTAAATAAAAAACGTAAGAAAGAAAAACCCAATGTTCAAAAAAGTCGCAGTTCTCCTAAAGTAAGGATTGTAAATCTGAACCAGATTTGCTCTTCTGGTCAGAGCTGACTGTCGGGATTCACTCAAGTGTGCACGACTGTTGAACATGAAACTTGTGGCCTACCCAATCACTCTGCTTTGGTGGAGCCTTCCAAAGGCCCTGGGTCTGCTACTAACCACCATATTTTTCTCACACTATACTCGCCCTTCCCCTCTGGCTGACCATAATTTTAAACTGAAGAAGCTGAATAAAAGTTTACTGGTGCTTGATTCCCAACTCAAACGTGTTCCCTGGGTAACAGCAGCATCCTTCCCCTGTGTGAGCATGTCTGTGGATCTGGGCTCCTAGTCATCGATCGACAGCAGGCAGCCTCTGTGGGCAGTTCTTACCCCTCCCCAGTTGAGAGTTCGAGCCAGGTCATTCCCTGTCCCCAGAGGGAGGACTCCCACAGGCGGCTGAGGACTCAGCTGCAGCTCATCCAGGATAGAAAGGATCCAGCCCACCTGCAGAAACATCGGGGGCCAGAAGAGAGAGAAGAAGCTAAATAAGTTACACAGAAAACAACTTGAGAGGAGGAGGCTTGAGAGCAATACAGAATTGTGCTCTTTTTCTCTAGAACATCCATGTCTTAGCCCAGGAGATAAGGAACTGAAAGGCCACTACCTCAGGCAGTTTCTAAATGGTAAACCTCTTAAATGGAAAAGGACCGTTTTGTGTACGCTCCATCATATGAGCAGGACGCTGGACTCATTCATCCATGAGAGTGTAACTACAGATGTACTCTAAGTTAGGAGAGTTTAAGATTTAGGGAGGCAATGTAACAGGGAAGAGGAGGTGAGACAGGACTCATAATGAGACTGGATTTCAATTCTGGCTCATATTGACTACATAACCTTGACTGAATTATTTAGCTTCCTGGAGCTTAGCTTATATGATTTTCAAAATGTGTACAATAGTTACCTCACGGGATTGTTTACAATTAAACTAAGATGTACAGGAGGCCCTACCATGGCTCATGGTCCATGACAGCACTCATTAACTGGTTACCCTCCATACTATCATCTTGAAAATTAGTAGGGCTTTTCCAAATATGCCTGTAGTCTCTTTAATGAAATATCATGAAAACATAATTATGGATGGTCCAGTATCTATTATGTTTAGGTAGAAAATAAGTACCTATATACTAGAATCATATTCCTGCTTAATCTTTTTCTAACATAAGTAATACTTTGGGTTTAGTCTTACTACAATTACTTAAAATAATTACCTAAAACTTGGACATAGCAAAAAGAAATGCATATCTTTACAATGTTATACTAAACAGTGCTTCACATGGTCACCTAGAACTTTACTACTGCAGGTTAACATAGATTTCAGTCTGGAAGTGACACAAATGTGAAGAAAGGAAGATTACTTTAAAGGTTATGGTTTTGCTTCCCTTCAGGATATTAACCAAATTTGACTCAAGTTTAGAAAAATTATTTGTGTATGAACTACTTAATTTCTGTTCTCTTGTTCTTTCATAAATCAGCTTTATCATCTTGCTGGTTCTCTTATTAAAGAGCTATATAAATTTTTGGCATGTATTTGTTTTATATTTATATGCAAGTCATGTCTTTGGGAATAGCACTTTAACTATATATAAAACCAGAACTAAGCAATAAAAATAAGGAGACAGATGAGATAGGCTAGGGCTGCCTTTGTGGCATAGCAGGTAAAGGCATTGCATACAACACTGGTATCCCATGGGGCGCCAGTTGGAGTCCCAACTGCTCTGCCTCTGATCCAGCTCCCTGTTAATGCCTGGGAAAAGCAGCAGAAGACAGCCAAAGTGCTAGGGCCCCTGCACTAATATGAGAGACTTGGAAGAAGCCCCTGGCTCATGGCTTTGGTGTGGTCCAGCCCTAGCCATTGCGGCCATTTGGGGAGACTCAGTCTCTCTGTCTCTGTCTCTGTCTCTCTCTTTCTCTCTCCCTCTCCCTCTCTCCCCACCCCCCTCTGTTACTCTGCTTTTCAAATAAGTAAGAAAAACTTTAAAAAATATGCCAGGATAAGATAGGTAAGGCAGAACGGCTGCTCTCAAGTTTACAATAACAAAAACATTGATGTACAAGTATAGTAGGTCCAATTAGTCCTCCAGAAACACACTCCAAAATTCGCAGTGAATTCCTGAAATTGCAGATGGCACTAAACTACATATACCATATTTTTCTTGTATATACATATCTATGATAAAGCTTAATCTATAAAATACAGACACTAATAATAATGACTAATAATAAAATAGATCAATTATAACAATATACTGTGATAAAAGTCACTTAAAAATTTGAACTGTTTGTTTCTAGAATTTTCCATTTACTATTTCAGCCCACAGTTGACTGTAGCAAACTGCAACTTTGGAAAGTGAAACCATAGATTGGGAGTGAGTGGATTACTGTAGTGATTGCTTTCTATGTATAATTCCTGATCCAAGTCCTGTAACAAATTTTCTTATTGAACTTCAAGACCCTCTACATATTTTTAGAACTCTAAAATTTCCATTTCCATTTTATTGTTAAAGAAACTGAGATTAGAAGGTCAAGTGACCTCTTACTATCACAGTATTTATGTAATAAAGCTGGCATTTAGTATTAGGAATACCTAACACCAGTGTGAAGCTCTTAACTACCATAGTGTAGTGAAATTTTGAATAAAGACTAAACCCAGTCCTGGGTATGGACTGACTTGTCTTAGAGCCAATGACATGTGACATTGGAAAATTTGAAGCTAGAGAACCGATAGAAATCGAGTAATCAAATGCAGTTAATGTTTGGATTCATTAACTAAGGTCCAGAGACATCATGTAATTTCTCAAAACTAAGTATTGGAAATGATGGACTCAGGGTAGTCTCAGTTCTCTTGACTTCATGGCAAATTGTTGCTCCTCCACAATGATTACTTCCCAGGATGTCAAACTTTAATGTCACCATTAAAGTCTAGAGTTCTTTGACTTCAGAGAAGGAACACCACAATGCTCACCCAATGTGGTATACTAAAAGTTCAGGTCTATAAAAATGACAAAAAGTCTATGCAGTCTCCAAACTGGACAATTTACTGCTAGATAAATCCTTAGATTTTGACCCAGAGCTTCTAGCTCTTCTTTTAGATTTCTGACAAAGCTTGCTTTTGAAGAAAAAACAGAAATGCCAGATGCTAAATTAGTTTTGATGACTGTACTAGACATTGTTCCCCCACTGCTAAAAGCATGAGGCAAACATGCGGAAAGTAAGTAGCTCTAACAAACTACAAGAAAGGAGTCTAAAGGTCATTGAAAAGGACATAAAAACTCATAATAGTCAATACCAGGGATCAATGCTGCAGATGTAAACAGTCTGAGTAGAACCAGACTCTCAATCATTCAATATAATTCAGTGGAAATCCAATTCAGGATTCCACCAAGAGGAGAAAAAAGCCTTCTCTTCGAAACTTCTGAGCAAAGTTTCTGCAATTGCCTCTCTATGATTTATACTCAAAAGTCACCCAATTTGCTTTCAGGTGGACTTAAATTAGAATTTTTTCTTCTGACAATTGAAATATGTCTCTCTTCTATTGGACAAGATAATGCTATGAGTTACAATCTTTTCTAAAAAATGTATGTGTTTATTTATTTGAAAGGTAGAGAGACAAAAAAAGACAGTATCTCCTATCCACTAGTTTATCCTCCCCTACAGAACCCCCAATGGCCAGGGCTGGGTTAGAACTCAATCCGCATCTCCCAGGTCCCAGGAACTCAAAAAGGAGTCATCACTGCTGACTCTGAGGGTGTGTGTTATCAGGAAAGCAGAATTCAGAATGGGTCTGAAACACAAACCCAGGTACTTTGATACAGTATGCAAGCATCCTAAGAGACATTTTAACCTACTATGCCAAATATCCACCCCTGGATTTACACTTTGAACATCCACTGCATTCTAGACACAGCAATGATGGGGGAGGAGAATAAAAGACGTGTTTTCACGGGCCAAAAACAAAGCACACAATGGTAAAGCTAGAGTAAAGGCTTGGATCAGAATGGCTTCTAGCTTAGAGTCTGCTGCCTACGTGACACTGGGGCATAAAATATGCTCCTTCTGTGTCGATTTGTAAAGTCAACAACAGGAGTCACTGTGCACTTACTCCTCATGTAGGATCTCTGTCCTTAATGGGCTGTACATTGAGATTTGATGCTATAATGAGTACTCAAACAATATATTTCACTTTGTGTTTCTATGGGGGTGCAAACTGTTGAAATCTTTACTTAATGTATACTAAACTGAACTTCTGTTAAAAAAAAAAAAAGAAATTAT